TCCAGAAAAAACTGTTTAAATTTATATATGTATATAAGCAAAGAAGAAATTGTATTATTTTGATACTTATATTTATTTCAAGTAGTGTATAGCATATACATATAGCTAATACATATAGCTAAATACAGGCATACATATATACATACATATCTATATACTTGTGGCATATAGCGAAAAGAAGAAAAAATATTCTGCACGTTGTTCGAATTTTTATTTAAACTCGTACATTTACTTGTTTTCTTTTTTTATTTTAATATGCTTTTGAGTATTGTTTGTGTTTTTGTTTTTATTTTTTGTAAGTGTGTTTACGTTTTCTTTACACTTTTTGTCATTGAAATTACTGTCGATGACATCACATTTTTATTTGATATGGCCAAAATAAAGCAAATTGAAATATAAATTCACAGCGAGCGAAAAATAAAACTTGAATTCAACATAAACAAACTGAAAAATACGTATGTATATATGTAGATATACTATCTATCGCTCATTTGTTTGAAAAGGGTCAGAACAATTCAAAATTTAAATTTCTTTCAGAGAATTTTTATTCATCTTCTTAGTAAAATGTTTGCCTTTATTCTAAGAACTTTACATTATTTTTATTGTTAACTAAATTATTATTGGAAGGGTTATCAAAATAAAATTGTTAATTTATATATGTATATTAGTATATTTTTTAATTGCAGATATTAGGGTTTAAAGAACTATACAATTTTACAAATAGAAAATTAAAATATTGTAGATAACGTAATTTAAATCTGTTTATCTGAACCATTAAAAATATACATATGGCATTTCTTGTCAAGTAACCCAACTCAAAAAATCGATTTTGACGAAATTTGCACTAAGGATAGTACTATTGGATAGTAGACACAAATTTTTAGCTCTATCGGGTAAGAACTGCCGGAATAAAAAGGGGTTAAAGTTGGACATATTGGTCATACAGGGTTTTATTCAAATGAGTGAAACTTTTCACCTATTGGTCCTAGCAAAAACTATCCAAAGGAGTTCAGACAGCTATTTCTTCATTCTTTCCAATTTTTTTAACTTCCAAATTTTTTTAATTTTAATTTTTTTTTTTTTTTTTTTTTGTAAAAAAATTATTTTTAATTAAACAATTTTATTCTTAAGTTGGGACTATAAAGCCCTTCAAGGAAATTGTATAAGATTTCTTTTAAGCAAAAAAAAAAAAAAAAAGGCCCATTTTGAAAAAAAAAAATATTAAAAAAAATATTTTTTTTTTCAAAATATTTAATATATATTTTTTTTTTTCAAAATGGGCCTTTTTTTTTTTTTGCTTAAAAGAAATCTTATACAATTTCCTTGAAGGGCTTTATAGTCCCAACTTAAGAATAAAATTGTTTTTCAATATTTGTCACTTAATTTTCCCCTATTTTTTCAAAATGTACGTCTTTGTTGTATTTTTTTGCTCATAATAAAGCTTTGGCCATTTCCTTTAAGAACTATAGTTCTAACCTTGATGCAATAGTTTGACACACATGAAACATCATGGGGAATTTCGTTTTTGTTTTTTTATCCGATTATTATTCTTAAGCATTACTTAGATCATCAGCCGCTTTCAAATCTTGACCAGGAAGTTGTAAAAAGTCTCCCAGTACATAAGTTTTTATCATCCATCACACAACAAGTGTATTTCTTATAAAATTTGAACTCTTTTTTTTTTGGTTCGGTTTTTTTGCTTATTTACCAAATTGTCTCTGCACACAAAAGAATCAGAGTATTTAACTTTAGGGGCTGCTGTCCGAAATAATAGTTGAAAATTAATGATTTGGAAAAGATAACATCTGACATATGTTTTAAAGCTATCGTGATCAAAAAAAAGTATAATTTGTTAGGCCAAGGATAAGTTTTGGCTAAAAAGGTGTGTATAAGTTTTATCTGAAACAGTCCTTAGTTCTTGAAGGTATTATTACAGACTGTTCACGTTCTATTTTGCCGTTGAGATGAATGATTTTTATTAGAAATTGTCACCTTCCGAACTGCCTTTGTGGATGCTTTATTTAGTTGACACTGTTCAAATTTGCTAACCTTAGAATTCTAGGGATCTTTCACAAAACATCTTTTTAGAACTATTCTACAAATATAAAGGCTTGTTTTCAGATTCATAGCAATTTAGTGGAACAATTTTCGTTGGTTAATTAAAATTGTTCTTAAAATATTTTTCGATAAATTCAAGATATTTCGATTCATACAGCCGCTGCTGCTGAATGCAATACATATTTCATATTTTTCACTATATCCATACTATATGAAATGCTTTTCTATTTCAATAAAAAGGTTTTTTATTTTTAGTTGATTTAAATTGTTTACATTATTTTCTACTGTACCAAAGAACTGGCTCCTTAAAAACTATTTAGAACATTGTAGTATGTTACTTGTTAGTCCATGTATGCCGTCATAGCGTGGATGGTGGATGATGATAACCAAAATATATATAAATATATATAACAAAATAAGAATTAGACAGAAAGGTCTATGCGGATGTTACGGTCAAGGATAGTGAATTGGACAGTACATGAACGGAGACGTGACCCTTACGAAAATACTTTTCAGTTCACACCGCCGAAGCCGTTATGGGTTGGTTCACACCTTGAAAACAACAGGTGGATGTTGTTTTCAGGACGTGTAGTTTCAGACAGGTTTGTGGTGATGCCGCAATAACCAAGGCGATCATATCTTCAGAACGAGCAATGGAATTTAAAAGGACATCACCCAAGAGCCTTAAAAAAATAAGTAATCTTTTCCTAATTTCAACTCCAAAATTATGAGAAATGAAATCGAAAAACCGCATTCATATACATATTTGAATTTATTCCCAGTAAAATAACATAAAATGAGATCTGAGTGTATGGTCACATGACATTTAAGAATTTTTTTATTTGCAATGATAATACCAAACGTTTTTGTTTGTTGTTATGACTAAATAATTAAAAAAATATACTTTAAGGATAAAATATAAATATAAATATTTAATAAAATGTCACCTATTTAGTCATAAAAGTGTAAATTTAAAAAATATTATATGCATTTCTCGTTATTTTGAAAATTTCACAAAATTTATGATTCATTTTCAGCCACACAAACATATTATACAGCAATGGTGTTTGTTTGGGGCAACAACAGAAAGCAACAAAAATATTAATAAATAGCAGAAAAAATACATATAAAAATTGGCAAAAGAACAAGGGGTTTTAGCGACAATAACAGTCGTACACAAGAAACACCCACAACACATCACACGGAATGAGACTGAACGAAATATAACAGCAAACTAGGGATGTATATATGCAATGAAATAATCTATGGGTAAATAACACACAAGTTCATATAGCACGAACAAAGGAGACATCATGTCGTCGTAGAAGACGTCATCTTTGTGTTAAACAAAAAATATATATGTACGTACATAGGTATGTATATGTACATTGTACATACATAGAAATAAACGAAATTATTATAATCATACACACGACGTATTGCATACACAAATCAGCAAGTATTTGAATTTTTACAAACAAATAACATTTTTGCAAAAAAATTACACAAAAAATGCATACATAGTTTGAATAAATGACAATAAATAAATCAATTTAATTGAAATAAATCACAGGAAGTGTGTTATATGGAAAGTGATAGTAATGATTAAAGTGAAAAATTTTATATAAAAAAACGACTCAAATACACTTACACATGTTTGACCACAACATAAAAACTTCCGCATTTTAGTGTAACGAACAAGCGAATATTAGTAACAATATATTTTTTTAATTATTTATTTGCAATACTGCAAGACAACATGTCTAAAGGTTTCTTTATTACACATTAAAACATCTACAAATATTGTTATTAGAGCAAATAATTCTCATTTGTTCGAATTTGGAAAGTTTCAAATCGCCATTATCTAGAATTATAATTAAAAATCAAGTATTTATGGTATACTTTAAAGTTCCTTAAGTTTTGAAACCTACTGTGAGTAAAAATCTTAGCCTTTAAAGTAAAAATAGGGCCTTTCAATTACCCGAAAACTTTGCGAGGCTCTTGGCACTGTAATCATAAGATTGTAAAGAAGGACCTTATACGTGCGGGATACATATGTATATTAAAAGTCTTGCCGGTTACCTTGGAGTCGAGAAATGCAGGAGAAAACGAAAGTTCTCCTGATCATAAAATGCATTTGGAGTATTCCCTAGTAGTAAAGTTCTGTAGGAAACAGATAATAAACATATTCCTTAGTACAGTTCCTGGATACTGCCTCAAAGAAATCTTAATATATCCATATGGGAATCCACGATATTAAATAAATTCTTAAAGGGGTGCATATCCACTCGGATATGTACCGACGCATGTCATTTTATAAAAATGTTAAACGATGTTTGCAATATAACGAACGGAAATTAAGAATCTCAAATTTTTTTTTCATAATATCCCAGCAGTTCGACAGAGAGTCAATGTTAGTGATGTCCACTAACGTCTAACCACCTGGTTGTCTCTAATTCGTCTTTTGTTACGGATGTACTCTTTGTAAACAAGGGTGAAGATAATCGTCACTTTAGTGTCCCCTTTGTAAGCGAAAGCTAAAGCTTTTTGTCTCTTCGTAATCTATGGGGTGACGATTGACATCCTCTTAGGACAATCACATGTTAAAATAGCTTATCACCTGGATAGTCGGTGGCTAGGGGTAACCCTAATAGGTATGTTAAATAGATAGTTCGAATTATAGCGATTATTTAGAAGATATTTTAGAAGATTTTCAAAATCCCAAACGGATGAAGACTTCGTGAATAAAAAACTTTGAAAAAGATAAATTTTCTTTGCTCTCCTTTAAATTTTTTTTAACAATACAAAAGTACAAAATAAATGAAACCATAAATGCGTTTTGCCTAAGATCACTTTGAATTTATAAATTAAAAAACTAATAACTTAAAGGTCACCCAATAACAAAAAGTTTTTTCTTTTTTCAATGATAAAAAACAACTTACCATGTTCCCAAGGATTTGCCGGCTCCAAATATCCAGTGACCAATTCATTGTCACTTTTTGGAAAGGACACGCGACGTGGTAGTAAAACTGATGAATCCGATGTTTTACGCACCATATTTGGCGAGGCTGATGCACTTACGGTGCCCGATTTAATAACACTACTATAGTTTAGGGCCGACGTATTTGGGCGCCAATCACGAGCACTGTTACCACTGCCACTTGCTTTTGTTGGGCTATTACTTTTATTCTGCTGCTGATCCTCTGTATTTCTATTACGTAATTGGACGCCAAATGTGGGTTCACTACAAATATGTGGCAAATGGGAGCCAGCGATTGGTGTGTTTAAAGCCGGTGGTAGTGGCGGCAAAGGCGAGGTTACTGTTGCTGTTTCTGCTGCTGTTGCAGGCAATGTTGTAGACAATGATTTTACATTACTCTCTACTTCAGTGGGCAATTGCTTCATTGAGTTAGCTTCTTCATTGCTGATTTCAGTTGTTGTTGGTAACGTATTGCTATGCGTGTTAGATGTTGCGGTCGTTTGTTTATTATCAATTGTGGCCACTTGTTGTTGCTGGTGTTGTTCAACATCGCCTGCTGGCATATTTGAGAGACAACAAGTGGCGGCAGATAGGGCAGCCGATGATGATGCTGCTGCTGCGCTTGTATTTATTTGTGCTGTTGTCAATTTATTAACGTCTGTTTGCTTATTTAAATTCTCATTATTACCTAGAGCAGTAGCAACATCATCGTGTTTATCTTTTTGTTTATCTTTATCGACGGTAGCAACAACAACATCGTTATTATCAAAATTGTTTGTAGTTGTTGTCGTTTTTGTTAGTTTTCTATCTTCGCTTATTTTTTCACTTTTATTTTCATGTATTATTGTTTTTCTATTTTCATCGTTTGTTTCATTAGATTTGTTGTTAACTTTATTATCATTATTACTTATTGTTGCTTTTTCAGATTGATTGTTTTTTTCTGCTGTTGTTGTTGATGTTTTTGTTTCAGTAGTTGTTTCTTCACTATTTTCTTGATTTTCAGTTATTTGTTGTTCTTGTTTTTTGCTTTCGCTTACATTATCGTTAACAAAACTACTCATATTCACGTTTTTTTCAAAATGTTTATTTATTGCAACCTTTTCTTTTCAGTTTTTTTCTTCAACCTTTTATTTGATTTAATTCGTTGGTGTTTAAATTGTTGTTGTATTTTTTGTTTGTTCATCAAAGTTTAAAATCTAGAAAGAATGCGATAAAAATAAAAATTTAATATTGTAAAGTAAATTTTTGATGTAATGTTATACAATCACATGATTGTATTTTAGGTTTAGGTTTAACAAATCTAAATTGTTGTCTTGAGATGAAATTAAAATATATTCTGAGATTCTCGTATTAAGCTATGTTGTTAAGGTTGTTAGACCTTACAACGTTGGTAGTAAAATGTGCAGAAAATGTCTAACAACAGTGTCAACTTACAAATTTTGTCTTGCAACATTGTCGTAAAGCTTTTTCTGACAACATTTCAAAAGAAAAATTGTAAGTTCTCACGATTGTTAGTCATTTTCTGCACATTTTACTGACAACGTTGTAAGATCTGACAACCGTATATCACAGCTTTTACATATTTTTTAATATTTCTATAAAATTTAAAGCCGAACGTTTATTTAATTTATGTATGTATGTATGTCGTCAAATTCTGACATACATACATATAATTTAACAGACATTTGATTTTTCACAGAAAAATGTTCTTGTTTATATTTTTTGTCGGCACTGTATAGGTATATTTTTTAATCCTTTTTGGGTCATTGTTATGCTGGAAAACTAATCAAAATAACATCTACAATTCAATATACATACTCTACAATATTCATCATTTGGTTGGACATAATTGATCCAGAAAGCAATCTAATCCCACCTTAATTTTTATTTCAACAACAGGACTAACTTCTCCCCATCCACACCCTTAAATTCCTTGACTATATGCCTTCTTTGTCCTTTCTATAGCAAATGGATTTAAACATGAAATGCCAGAAAAAGTTACTTATGTGTGTTTCGAACAATACTGTATAATAAAAATTATCTGGAAATGTTAATACCCAGCAAAAGTAAAACGAAGTACTTCCAAAAGAATAACATTTATCACCAATTCAAAGGTAGCACTAAGTGAATTTTTTTTACCTTCTGAGGAAGTGATATTTAAAGACTTCCGAAGAAGCGAAAATAATTATATTTTTCAATGTTGAAGATATCTTTTTTGTTCTTCTTTCTTGCTTCTCTGTTTTTGAATCTTCACTCTTATATGGTGTATAACTAACGTGACCAGACATCCCGCCAAAAGCGGGATTATCCCGCTTTTTAAAGGTTGATCCCGAGTTAGATTTCAATTCCGCTTTTTAATAACAAATCCCGCTTTTAACAGATCAATTGTCCTTAATTTTATTGTAATCAATTTGGGATTTACTATTTAAAAGTTTAAAAATTAAACTTCAAATTAAGAAATTTTGTTAGAAAATAGAATGTCTGTTCATTAACAACAATTTGTTACAAATTATCAGAAATTGTTTTTGTATTTCAATATAAATTTCAAATATTTTTGTAAAAATTAGTAACAACTTTTAGTTAGACAAAGAAGTTCCAAAAATACTTATTCTAGTATTTTTTTAATCATTTTTCGAAATGTGGGTAAAAGTAGGCATCCACTTTTTAAATAACAAAGTTGATTTTTAAAGTTAATGGTCTAAAAAAATTATTATTTTAAGTGACAAGTGAACATTGACTTTTTGGACCCATGACTTTTAACTTATAAAGCTGGAAAATTGCTTTTATTCTCACTTAAAGTGACCGTGTTGTGTATCTGACCTATCAGAACACACTATTATTTAACAATCAGGATAAAATTTAGTTCTATTTGTGCTCCCATTTTGATTTTTGATTTTTTTAACTAATATTTCAGAGTGATTTTATCAAATTTTTCTTATACACTATGTTTCCTAGATTTTAGGCAGAATTCTCGAGGAACATATAAAAAATGCTATATAAAAAGTTTAATTTACACTGATTTTTTAATAACACAGGCCAACAAAAAATTTAATAAATCGAAATGAAGGATTGCTACTTAAAATTTGAATTTGGCATTAGAATTTTTTTATCATACCTATATTTCTTATAGGTAAGGTTTGTTTGGTATTGAAAATGGGGAATATCGGTCCACATTTTCGTATAGCGCCCATACAAGTGGAAAATATATAACATTTTATGAGGATCGGTCCATAAATGACCCTACCCCTCATATATTGTCCCCTCCAAAAAATGACTTTAACGCCTATTACTCGCTTAAAAATACGAGTCTATCCCAGAAACTCAATATAAGTAAGTTTCTTATGAGTTAAAATCTCTCTACCAAATTTTATGAGGATCGGTCCACAATTAACTCTACACACCATATAAGGCCCCTTCAGAAAATGAATTTAACGCTCACTACTGGCTTAAAAATTAGAGTACAGCGCTGAAATTAGACATACGTAAGTTTCTTACTAGCACAAATCTCTCTACCTAATTTTATGAGAATCGGTCCATAATTGATCCTACCCCCCACATAAGGCCCACTTCAGAAAATAACTTGAACGCACATTACTGGCTTAAAAATGCGAGTTTAGCTATGAAATTCGATATACATAAGTAAGTTTCTTACAAGCCAAAATCTCTCTACCGAATTTTATACCTCAATTGACCGCTCATATACAGTATTGTTCGAAACCTAAGCAACTATATAATATAGTATATTATCTTTTTAAAATAATTAGGTGTAATTTTATTTATATATAATTATGTATTTTGTATTGGAAGAATTATTGTGAAGTAGAAATTTGTAACCGCTTATGGCCTATAGGCTAGGTTATTGAATATTGTTAAATAAATAAATAAATAAATAAAAATTCCACCCGATGTGAGTTACAAGAAAATAATAACTGAATTGACTCCATAAATAGCTGTTCGAAACTTAAGCAACTTATTGATCTTATGAAAATCTTTGGTCCTTTTGAGTTCCAAACACCTTTATCTGCGAGATTCTACCCAGCGCTTCAGAATGCCGAACAGCATCTCTAAGGGGCTTGAGTCAAGAAATTTTGATGAGTAATCAAAGAGTTTGGGTCCTATTACCCGATAACAACTCTTAGATCAACTTTGCCAAAGGCTTTGGTACATGCTGAAAATCGCAATAAAGTAAGTTGTTCTGTTCGGTGTACTCAATCATATGATTCATTTTGTTGGCGAAAAACGTCCCAAAAGAAAAAACAATCCAACTTTGTTTGTGTTTCAACATCAGGACTAACTCTTCTCTTCAAAAAATGTGGCCACAGCCTTAAATTTTTGCTCTCCATTCATTATTAGGCCTTTACTAAAAGGGTATATTGTAATATTTCCTTCAGCCTTTGAGCCTCGCATACTCTGTTTGAATTTAAGAAGGAAAATGTGGACCTGTTTATAAATAAAACTGTTTTTATTATTATTATAGATTATTATTATTAATCTATTTCAATTTTCTACCCAAAATTGTACAAAATTTTTTAAAAAATCGAATTTCTTTAAGTAAACTCGGTGCCATGTCACTGCGGGATTCATATGCGGTTACATCATCGTACATTAAAGACTTAAAAAAGCATGGAGGTCAAACAATTAAGGTTGTGGGCAAGATTTTTAGTGAGTAGAGTAAGTCCTGATGTTGAAATACAAATAAAATTGGATTGTTTTACTTTCTGGGACATTTTTGTCCAACAAAATGAACCAAAGGATTAAGTACATTGAACAAAACAACTTACTTTATTGCGATTTTCAGCATGATAATGAACCAAAACCTTTTGCAAAGTTTATCTAAGAGTAGTTATCGTATAATGGGACCCAAATTCTTTGATTATCCATCAAAATCTCCTGTCTCAAGCCCGTTAGAGATGCTGTTCGGCATTCTGAAGCGCTGGGTCGAAACTCGCAGTTTTAGAAAACATTACAGCTGGCGAATGGCTTAAAATCCGATTGGGATTCATTACGAACTACACTAGTAACTAATCTATTCCATAAAGGTGTTTGGAACTCAAAAGGACCAAAGATTTTCATAAGAAGATCAAAAAGTTGCTTAAGTTTCGAACAGCTATTTATGGAGTTAATTCAGTTATTATTTTCTTGTAACTCACAGCGAAAAAATGCCAAAAAAAAGTTGCTTAGGTTTCGAACAATACTGTATGTTCATGGTTAAAAAGTTGGACAAAAATATTTTGTTTCTAAAAATTAATATTAATATCGATATATGTACATATGTACGTCTTGGTCGAGTATAATGTTTGTACTTGTTTTGATATTAACTTTTATTAAATCCGGATTTAATAAATGAAAATTTTCAAAATCTCGCTTTTCCAATATACATATTTTCATTCAAATCCCGCTTTTTAATCATTCGGATCGCGCTTTTATTCCAAAACCATCTGGTCATGTATAACCCTTCTTACTTCTTCTAAATCATTTGTATTTAGTTGGAATTTATGTAATATAGGTAGGTACTGAAAAAATAACAGAAACGATTTATGACATTGCACAGGGAACATAACGTTATATTTACATACTAAAACGGGTTTTACGCGTTTATTTTAATTAGAAGTAACTGTAATCTTCCTATGAGTCTTTGAATTTTTAAAATGTTGACATTAAGCGAACATTTTGTGATAAATTTATATTATTATGGCATTATGCTATCTGTTCGTTAACACATGTACCCAGACTTTTAAAATTCATAGAACAATTTCAATTGCCAAATATTGAAAGATTGTTTGAAATTTGGCTAAAAATCTATAGAATATCATTATCTGTAGATGGACCATTCCTTTCGGTTCGAAATCTTAGCAAAAATTAATTTTATAAATACTTTTTTAATTTTTTTAGTAATTATTTTATTATATTATTTTCAAGATGGGAACTCCGATTCAACTGTTGGATCGAACGAATTAAAAATATTTTTATACCTACTTAAAACGTTTAAAAATAAATTCGAAAAATATAAAGTTATGAATCCTGCTCAATACTAAATATGAATCGTTTCTATTATTTTCTATTTCTATCATTTCCAGTACTTATTATAACTAAAAGTAGTATAATGTGTTAATAACGGATGAAAGTAGACTTGAGTGGATTTAGATATAAAACATGAAATTCTAACGGTTGTTAGCCCTGCAGGAAATGAAGCGATAATTGTCTAGTACAAAAGAGGTTAGAGTTTTTATGGAAAAATACTAGTACTAAAAGTAGTTAAAGGAGGATTACTTGCAGACCGATTTTTTTTTTTTTGACATGTGTTTGAAAAAATAAATTATTGAAATTATGAAAATATAATTCTCAAACATTTTGCATAAAATAAAGAAAATTTACAAACATTTCCTTTCAAATTAGAGGATTAATAGTGAATGACTGTTTAGGTATAGTTGGATACAGAGCCCATGTAAGTACGTCTGTTAAATTTTAAAATTGCAATGACTTTCATATGTATGTACATACACACATATGTATGTAGGTATGTGTATAAATGTACATATTTACAAAATTTTTTATTTTGATTGAATTTTTATAAACAAAAAAATATTAAAACTAATTTTGTAGTAATTTTTACTTGGAACCTAGCAGGAGGGTTACAAAGGAGCAAAATCACCAATTACGGTGACTTTTTGTGAACATTAGAACTAGTAATAAACTGGTTATAAAGGACCCAATTGGATCCAAGTGTACTAGTATAAGTCCAGAACTAATGGTACTAGTAATTTTTCAAACATACTCAATGTTAATTTGAGCATTAAGATGGTATAGGGAAGTTTACAGTTGGGAACTAGTACTGGTGATTTTGGTACTAGTTTGGTACTAGTTCCATTTCCTGTAGGGAGGTATTTGGATGACATTTTTTGGCCCGAAATATTTTCATGTTATGTAAATATGTATGCATATCCCTTATTCCCAGACTAGAATTTATCTCATGTAAACGAACACTAACAAAAAATTGTTAAAAAATTAACATTTAATTTATACGAAATTTGTTTCATTCTATTAGTTCACTGTATTTTTTTATTTATCGTGTATAAGACATATGAACTATAGTAAATACCTATACGTACATGTAATTTCTTATAAACTAAAAATCAAACATTTACTATAATTTTTGGTACATAGTCTAAATACATACAAATTATACTTCATACATACATACATTAATACATGTGTATTTACAAAAATGACTTTAAACAAAAACATTACACATGTGAACAGCATGCGCATGGCAAAAGATAAAAAACTATAATAATAAAAACATATTAAATATACATACATACATACATATGTAAAAAATGCAATGAAATGAGAAAAAAACAAAAAAAACTATGAATTACACTAAGAGAAAAACAACATTACCTAACATGCAATTGTTTTTATTTATTTTGTGTTTTATTGTATGTTACTTTTAGTTTGACTTTGTTTTGTTTGTTTGTTTACTTGTGTTGTGTGTTTATTATTGGTTTTTTGTTATTGTTATATTTATCTCCCACTATATTTTGTTTTTATTTTTCTTATTGAGCTCTACACATCACTAAAGTTCACATTCACATTAACAAATCTATCAACAAAATAAACTTGATGATGACAATTATTTAAGGTAGATAAAAAAAATTCAATATATAGAAGAACAGTTGGAGAGACAAGTGAGGCGAATTATTAAAAGGTTATTAATTTGTTCGTATTTTTTAATGTGCGATTCTTCCTAGATGTTTTATTAAAAAATATGTTGTTTACTTGTTTTTATTTTTCTTTATTTGATGTAGACAGTCTGCTTAAACTTTGTTGGTAAAAAATAGGTATTTTATTTTGTGTATAAGTTGCGCGCGCGTTATTACTATTTTTACTTTTTTGAAAATATGCGTAGTTTTTTTTTGTTGTTTTTTTAGAATTATATTCTTTCTTTTAATTTACACTTTGTTTCTATTTTTCTTTGTTTACATTTTCACTTGACTTTTTTGTTGCTTCAAAAGAAAACATTGATCTGGTAATAGAAAGAATTTTCGTTATTTATATGACTTCTAAAATAGAGAACATATGAAAATGAAAACAAAAACGTGTATTTTATATTTATTTAGTTTAGCAGTATATTTTTGTAAAACTAAATATTATTAATTATTTGTTTTATTTGCACGATTTTTATCACCTGAGTAATAAATGATTGCTAGTATTAACACTCACTCAAAATCCCATACAGACTCGTTTACACACACACTGTGGGACAACAAAATGACAACACACATGGAAAATTAAAACATAATTTAGTATGTTTGTGTGTTTAAAAGGTTGTATTTTTATTTTTTTGTTTTCTTTTTAAAACCCTTCAAAAATAATATTTTTATTTTGTTTTATTTTTTTGCACTTGTTTTTATATTTTATATTTATTGTTTTCTATTCAAATTATTTCTCTTTTCGTTTTGTTGGGAACAGTAAAACTTTATTTTAGTACGACTTTTTTATTTAATTTTTTTTTTTCAAAGTTCTCTGTAAATTCGACCTTCTTGTGGTTACACAATTTCAAAGACGTTTGATTACTTTTTCACAGACAATTTATTTTAGTGGGCCATATAGAATGCTTTATTGGCATTTATTAAATATATATTTTTGGTAATTTGGATTATATTTGTTGCATGTAATCTTTTCTTGATATATACACATATATTTTTGTATTTATTTAGGTGAAAAAAAATTATTTCGTACTTGCACAGAAAACGCTATTTTCAACCGACGACCAACCACAATGACGGCGAAAAACCAAAAGACAGAATTGTGAGAGCAAACAGAGGCAAAAACAAATTTAGACAGCGTTGGAAAAAATTGTATATTTTTTAGTACATTTTTAATTTTTTTTGGATCGTGTTCGTGGGTTGTCACAGAAATTTCAATTTTAAGTAATTTAAGTGGGTGCAATTAAAATATGAAATTGTGATTCAATTACTGGTGTTGTGACTGTTAACAGAGATTGCAAACAAGTAATAGTTAATGGCATTATAAAAACATTTTATTTTCTTACATTTTTACCATTAAGCCCTTATTATGTATTTGCATTCGCCAATTTGGCTTTCGCAATGGCCTAATATAAATATTATTGTTTCACTTAATTCTTAACGATCGGTCCGTTATTAGATATAGATCCCATACAAGACCGCTTCCGACAAAGAATTCAAATCGCATAAATGGATTATTAATTTCTCCATCGAGATAAAAGTCAAGACAAATAATGCCAAAAATCATATTAAAGATTTAGCTCGGATGTAAGGAGTATTTTACAGGCTATCATATACATACATATGTAGCTAGGGTTTACGAACTTTATTTTTTGCGTTTTATCTTTGAAAAAGGAAAGCGCCATTTTATTATGTTAACGGATCTTTAAATAAAGCCAGAAGGTGATTTTTAGGCAATTGGTTTATCGTCAATAAATGTATATGTTTAAAAACAAAAGTCTCTGTTTAACTAGATGTTTTCCATATAAATCTAATTCCAACAGCAGCACTTTTCTCTCCTTATATTTTGGATTTATCTCATCCATCATTAAAAAAATATGTTTACGTTTAAGAGTTAATTACGTTTTTTTTTTTTTTGATGTCATTATAAATATGGGTCTTTATAATATATATTTCTCAAGTCTTATTTATATCATTTGAAAACCAAGTAATCATTTCCATTCGATCCACAAAATGGAATTGTTCTTCATTTTCATACAATTCCAATTATGTGGCACTGGCACATTCTATTGGCATATTCTAAAAATTTTCGGTTCGGTTCCGAATTTTTTTTGCGGTTTTAATTAGGTTGGCGGTGCATTAAGCACTCATATTTCCAGGTTATCACACGTTTGTCCGGAGAAACCCCATCAAACGACCTATACCTTCATATAGGAAGTTGCAGCACCAAACTTAAAGTATTATATGGTCTCTTCAAAAGTATTATATGGTCTCCACCAGTTAAGAACATAACCTCACTCTGAGGTAAAAGGAAAGAACGAATTTAATGAAGACAACGTATAACTAGAAACAGTTATACGAAGTAATGCATTAAATAAGTACAGGGTGAGAAGTAACTCTGTCGAAAGCTCGGCAACAAGCACAGGCCTGACCGTCCTTAAGAAATAAAAACGATGACGCGAGAGTTGTTCCCCAACTCAGACCTGTATTACAACTGTCGGTTCCGACTTGATGATTATTTATATCAACCCAAACAGTGCTCTAACCATAATCTTGCGTTTTGATGGTTTAGTGTGGTTTACACCCTAAGATTTCCTGAATATGCAATCTAAGGTTCTACTTACAATATGAAAACTGTTTTTCTAAAGATTTTATACTTTTTAACACGAAACCAAACCCCAATCCAGTAGTAATGCCCATCAAAATAGTATGAATATTTCGGGTATCACTTAAGCAACAGGCTCACTATTTGAAATTCGCAATGGAGCAAGTAAATTTTCAGTTTAAGCAAGGTAAGCTTGTATCGTGGTAAAAACGAACCATTACGGATGTGTTGGTCACATTTACTCTTGGTATGGCCCAAGGGAAGGCTCCAAATAACTAAATACTAAACATGTTTATTGATATGGGTTTGGTTTCAAAGAGAATAGTAAAACTTAAGAAAAATGGAGAAAATGTTGAAAACAATCCCCTATGTAGACACTTCACAGAGTTCCTGCCAATTCTGGAAATTTTTTTAGTGAATGAACACTAAACCTTCGTTTCCATTGACCCCAACAATCAATAAGGCAGAATCGAACCGAAAATGTTTTGAAGTGCTCCACATCATGAATTTAGTGGCAAAAGTTTAATAATCATTTCCCGTTCAGAGCCATGGCGCTACCAGTTAACGTAGTCCTATAGCGATAAATTTATCCAGATGCGAACGGTCAATATTCGCAACTTCTGCAAAATTACACAATTAAATATTTGGGACACAAGTATACAGTCACGAGAAATAAGAGATCAAAATGTGGAAAATTAGAGGGTGACAATTTTTTATTATCATTTTAGGAATCTGGAATTATTTAAAAAGTTTTTTAATTGTCGGCCTGTGCAATCTTCAATTAGGAACTCGATTTTTTAACTTTAGGTAAGGAAGATTTTATATACAGTGTCTCTCATAAGTATTCGAATTTAGGTAAACTATGAAAAGAAACCAAATTTAATAATATATTTTGTGTGGAAAATAAATAAATTAATTTGTTATATTGTCTAGATAGTCCTTAGTTTTGATATCACGCCCCTTAAAACTTGAAAACTTTACATTTACTTAAATTAGTTGTGCTTTTTTTAAAAAAAGTCCATGAAACTACTTCACAAAAGTATGCGAATTTTTCCTGTATTTCATATTTGATCATATTATACGATACACAAATTTTAGAATCGCATGGTTTTATGCTTAATATTGTTTTAAGGGGTTACTATCAACCGCATGGATATATTTTTGACCCATTTGGTCCACAATTTTGGGGGATTTGTACCCTCTTTTCATGTAATATCATTAAAATGGCGATTTTTGGCTATATTTGTATGTTTTCACCCTTTTTCCAGAGATTTAATATTGGAATTTAATAGAACCCATAGGGTATCTAAAAATAATATTTTTTGTTATAAGGATCTGTACTTCAACGTTCCAAGATGTATTTTTGGTATAGTTTTTCAGTTTCTAATTGAATTATCTGGATCATAAGTCCCTTTTCGTACCTCTAGGGACGATATTTTCCGACAAAGTTGTCGGAAAATATTGGCACTAATGTATTTTAAATTTTCAATATATTATAGCGGTATACAACCCCAAAACATGCCTTAACAAAATGTCATCCTATATAGTAGATTTCAGTTTTTACTACTCGTAACTTTCACGCTTATGTTGCCCGTTACAATAACACTGTAAGTCCTAAATTTTGGTTTTAATTTGATCATAGTAAATAATATTTAAACACATATCAACATTTTTGATGTGATCATAATGATATCGTGCCATGCAGCATGGAGGACATTGGTATATAAAAATAATGATTTTACTGTTTTGAATGGTGCTTCTTCGAGGCATGTTTTGGAGTTGTACACTTCCACAACACATTGAAAACTTAAAATGTATAAAAGCTGATATCTAAAAGAATATATACCAGAAAACTTTCCCCGAAAATAGTTGATCCTAGTATTATAAAAATGGACTTAAGTTCCAATATATTGAATTAGCGACAGAAGAATGATCCGAATAATTTATCTTGGAACGTTTAAATACAGATTCTTGTAACAAAAAATATTATTTTTAGATACCCCAAGGGGTCTTTTAAGTCCCAATATCAAATTTTTGTTTTATCTCTGGAAAAAAGGAGAAATTATGGCCAAAAATCGCCATTTTAATGATATTACATGAAAAGAGGGTACAAATTCCCCAAAATTGTGGACCAAATGGGCCAAAAATATATCCTTACCGTGGATAGTAACCCCTTAAAACAATATTACGCATAAAAACAATTCGATTCTAAAATTTGTGTTGCGTATAATATGATCAAATATGAAATACAGGAAAAATTCGTATACTTTTGTGAGGCAATTTCACGGACTTTTTTTAAAAAAGCTCAATTCATTTAAGTCAATGCAAATTTTTCAAGTTTTAAAAAGCGTGATATCAAACATAAGGACTATCTAGACAATATAACAAATTAATTTATTTATTTTGCACACAAAATATATTATTAAATTTGGTTTCTTTTTATAGTTTACCCAAATTCGAATAATTATGAGAGACACTGTATACCTATTCGATTTTTTTGCAAAAGTTCAAATATTCGAAACACCATTAGAATTCTAGTCGTTTTATAAATTCATGTTACCACTATAAGGCTGCAATAATTTAAATGGATGTTTATTAAAAAATAAGACTTAAACAAATTAACATCATTACAACAAAAGTCTATAATCCAATGAAAACGAAATGAAAATATTTAACAAATTGTGAAATTATGGTAGCCTGCCAAGACAACACCTGAATTTTGTGGTGGATGGTGATTATTGGTACTTGTGTCGATAAAATTTCTAGGATATTTGAGTATACACAAAACAACAATGTAATTTTTCATATAATATAGAAGTATTTCTCAACTTTAGTCTCGCAAAAAAAGAAAATTCTGCTAAAATATTAACAATTTTATTATATTTTAAATGATTCTGCAATTTAATTGCAATTGTAGTAATTTTACATTTTAGTTGTTCATGTTGTTATTGTTACTGCTCATTTACAGAACAAAAACAAACATTCGATGAAAAGCAGATGTGGGGGAAGAGAAAAAATAGGTGTATGTATGCCTGTGTGTGCAGGTATACATACATGCATGTAATAACTCACACATTTATATATACATTGCGTACACATTTTGCAAAAACAATATTTTTATAAATTAATAAAAACGTCACAAATTTTCAAAATTATTTTGCCATTTTATTTTAATGGAATTTTTTTTGGTTTCTTCACATTTTCTTTTACTTATACATACTTTTTATTTGAAAAACTTCGTTTTTTGTCTAACAAAAAATCATTTTCTGGAACACAAAATAAGAATTTTGCATAGTTTTTTTTTCATACAGTTTTATTTCATTTATCGAAACTTTTTTAATTCTTTTTATGCAGACGTAATTCTTAAACGGCAAATTTGTTATAGATATTTTTTTCTACAGCGCTCATTAATTGCTTGTATATTTTAAATTGGCTTTGGTTGGAATTTTCTCAATAAAAACTGCATTTTAAAAACAAAATTGAGAAAATATATTCCCAAAAAATCT